GCTAAGGAACTTACATTGAGTTACCATAGTAGTTAAAGATATATCGTACATAATAAGGTTTCCTTATTACAGTATCTCTAACCCTAACTACCCTTACTATAGTGACTTAATGTAAGTTCCATAACAGCAACCCAGTCTAAGCTCTTCTTCCGGCACCCGTGCGCATTGCCTGGCCAAACTTTCGTGTATGGTGAGCCTCTCCATGCGTGGAGAAAAGGAAAATGGATACGACAATTCTGGGTTCAGGGTTTAGGGTTTAGGGCTATTGTTTGGGGTTTGGGGGTTTAGGGTCAGAGTTGTTTGGTAACTGGGTCAAAAACGGGGATAACTGTGGTTATTGTATGGCGTATACTTATATTGGTTAGACGTATACTTTTTGCCTTCAAGCAGAGTCTCAGCCATAGCTTAAGGCTGTGTGGTTTAGGACGTATCTAAACCCTAAAACCTGCGGGTCTGGAATTTGTGAAGTGGGAGGCTCGCCTAGAGGCATTTCCGGCCAGAGTTGCGAACGGCAGGATCCCCCTGTTAGGCGCCCAGCAGTATTGCAAGGAGGTTTAGAGACTTACCCTAAGGGTCCAAGGACCCAAATAACAGGGTTTTAGGGCTCAAATACTTTAATATAAATGGTATTTGGGCCCTACAACCTTGTTATTTGGGTCCTTGGACCCTTAGGGTTAGGAACGTAGGCCAGCGCTAGACCCCATGAGCCTTGGGTTTGCGGGCTTCGCTGCGCAAGCCCGAATGCAGGGCACTGAAGGGCTTTGAGGTCCATGGGTTGCGCGGTGTAGGGTTACGAAAAACCCTTACCGTTAAAGCCTTAGGCATAGTGGTTCTACCCCGGAGGTGGAATGAGCCTCAGAAGCGGAATGAGCCTCAGAAGTGCCGCAAACATAGTTTTGTGGTTTGGGGTTTAAGGGCGCTTAGATCTAGCCTACTTTGACATTGGCACACGAATAGATACATACCAGGAGATTAGGCGGCACAACTCCTTTTGTCTGGTTGCATAGGGTTCCCTACCTTAAAACCCAAAGCCCAACTGTCTGTAAGGATATGGGTTTCGGGGCTTGGGGTGTAGGCTTGCAACCTAGGCTTTTTCAAGTAGAACACCCCTGGGGATCCGCAGCATAAGTGAAACCCCAAAAACAAAAGCATGTCACACAGAAATCGAAGTTCATTGCCACTTGGGAAGGCGTGACGGCACTCATAGTGACCAGTTGAACGAAGCCCCAAACTCTCAATTCTAAACCCTCAGCCCTTAAGCCTTCAACCCTTAAGCTGTTAAACTTAATCTTTAGACGCAAACCCCAAGGGTCCAAGGACCCAAATACTATAATATTAATGGTATCTGGGCCCTAAAGCCCTATTATTTGGGTCCTTGGACCCTTAGGGAAAACTTCTGTTGTCTCAGTGGTACCCAATATTGAGTAAGATTATCTCCTCCTTTTGGGTTATAATAATTATGTAAGCAATAGAATCTTACTGGGTTTAACCACAAAAAACACTATTCTGTTGTCTCAGTGCCAAGAGCGGGGGCACTCCGAGCCGCAGTCTGCTGGCAATTGCCTCCCCACGAGAGGCGGCGTTGCCAGCATTGCACACGAGTGCAAATAAATCGCCAAGGAGGTTGTTAAAGCCTTTCCTGGACCCCAAAAGTATGCAAAATCATGGCCTTTATGGTTATTTTTAAGGGTTTAGGGCTATTATTTTACAGACTTTTGGGGTTTAGGTATGGTCTAGGATTTAGGGTTGATCAGTAAGGGTTTGGGATTTAGAGCCTCGGGTCCGAGATTTGGGGTGTGAATGTGCGGGATAGTGCATGGGGTTATTAGCGGAAAGTTGTTCTTGATCCTGGATGGTTCAGAGACTCGGATTGGGGTCCCTGGCTTTGATTGACAGGTGATATGGACTTGCCGGATCAAAGATGTCAGTAACATCAAGGCAACGACTTGCATCAATGTAGTTTCATGGGGGGGGGGGGGGCAATTACCCTAAGGGTCCAACGACCCAAATAATAGGGCTTTAGGGCCAGGAAAATTCACAGCAGTAGGTCTGGCTTGGGAGACTCTTACGGTCCCTTAACAACCCTAAACCGAAAACCCTAAGCCTTAAACCCCAAACCCTAAACCTTAAATCAAAAACCCTAAACCTTAAATCCTAAACCCTAAACATGAAATCCTAAACCCTGCTCAAACCCTAAACCCGAAACCCTAAACCCTAAACCCCAATCCCTTCACCCTAAACCTTGAAGGATGAGTGAAACAATCAACGATGTTCATCTATGGGCTTGACCTCTGGAGGGTGACTGAAGCCCTAATCCCTGGGTGCTTAACTCTATAGTCCCTCTTAAGTAGATAGAATATTAGGGTTGAGGGTTTAGGTTTAGGGTATAGGGTATAGTCCCCCTTAAGTAGGTAGAATATTAGGGCTGAGGGTTTAGGGTATAGGGTATAGTCCCCCTTCAGTAGATAGAATATGGCTCTGGGTATATTGTAATAAGATCCCCATATGTCCACATTCTATCTACTTGAGGGGGACTACAACTCTAAACCCTAAGCCAACCAGGTTCGTCTAGTTTGCAAAGAACACCACATCCAAGACTGACCCGGATTATGTATAGTGTTTCGCGTCTGCTAGAGAGCTTTTTGCGGTGCAGGTTCAGGTCTCAGGTTTGGTCTTAGGGCGAATTAGTAGACACAATATGGAATTCACCAGAATCATAAAAAGATCCTCATACACCCCATATTCCATCTATTTGATTAAGGGGGGACTATAGGGTTT